CCCCTTGCACCCACTCACACCCACCACACACACGCGCAGAGGCTGGCCGGTTAGAGAAAAACGAAAAAAGCCAGTATCCTCAAACGGGAAGCCACCCCTGGGTGCCAGTGGAAGGGAGGGACCAAGCTACAGGGAGGTAGATTAGGAATAGGAACACGCGTGGGCTCTCGGATAAGGGACGACTATAAAGGGATTCAGGAGAGCTGAGAGCCCCGGCACATTTTCACGGAATAGGTAGTGAGAGACCGAGCAACAGCCGGCCGTCCCAGCTGCCCCTGGAGACACCTCCTTCTTCACCGGGGTCCTAACAGACCCTCTTCCTGCACCAGGGTCCTCTCTGTGTCCTTCGTGGAGTAGGCGCCCGCCTTGAGAGAGGGCAACGACGTCTCTGCGTGGCGACATCCGAGGGGCAGGGGATAAATCCGGGGAACTAAAAGCTGGGTCCCTACAGAGTAGTTTGTTGCTGTCACTGGCCCAAAATGTAAAAATGAAAACCCCAAGTGTGCTGCATTTCTGATCCGAGCCCCCCGCCCCGGGTGAGGAGGGCTGGGTTACAGTGGAGCGCTGTGAGTGGTTTTCTTCTACCGGAGCAGTGGAGGCCGAAGAAAAGCTCAAAAAAAACCCGAGAGAACAGGATTCTACTTGAGGTTTCAAGAAGAATTCAGGGACGAAGAGTGAGGACAAGCTGATAAAGAGGAAAAAAAGATACAGAGATTTTTATTGTAAATGCTCTTCATAGGCGTTCACCCTTAAGCATAGAAGGCGTGGTGCATTCCAAGAGAAATACGGTACAAACCGTGTGTGATTGCAAATTTTCTAGCAGCCACGTTAAAAAGGTAAAAAGAAGCCGGTGGAATTATTTTTAAGTAACCCAAAATATTGTTTCTACAGCGAATATAAAAGCTATTAGTGAGACACTTTATGCTTTTTGTTTGATATTAAGTCTTCAGAGTCCTGTGTGTGCTTGATTCTGCAGGGCACTTTGGACTAGCGAGCCACTTTTCAGGTGCCCGACAGCCATGTGTGACAAGTGGTTACTGTATTGGACAGGGCATACAGTTCTAGAAGGTATCTTCTAGATACCTTCCCCATTTGGCCCGTAAAGTACCTGAGATTATCATGTTAATGGTCATGTATATTCTCCTGGGCTGTCTAAAAACTTAGCGTCTTTAGCTAGTATCTTGTCAAAGCACTAAATATCCTGATAGGTACAGGTGCTGGTATTCAGATGGAAGTTGTATGAATAAAGAAAAATTTTTTTGCAACTATTTGCAAAAAATGTGTTACTGAGGATCCTGGGTTTGGAGGAATGAGTGCTAGTTCATGCAGGCAACCTAACACAGTGTTTAGGTAAGAATGCGGAGTCTAGAAGCAGCCTGCTTAAAGCCGAGCTCTACCATTGCTAACTGGGAACACAGCAGGTTACTAACAACCAATGTGGCCTGTTTCCACAGAGCTGAGAGGAGCAACCGAAGTTGCCCGTGTAAAGCACTCTACAAGACAAGTGCTTACCAGTACTTTTCAAATGCCAAAGATTCTGTTTACCAGAAGTGATAAAAGCTGTTGAGAGAGAAAATCCTCCAAGAGGGTGGATCTTTTTTCCCTCGATTATGCTAGATAGTGAGGGGGATTTTCTAAGCAGAAGACTAGCACCACATGCACTAAATGGGGCTCTGGTCTGAGCTTTGCCGGTGGAGGAAAAGCTGGGAAGAGACCTGGGGCACCTCCTGTTGAAGGGGAGGGAGGGATGTAGATTCCAGGAGCTCCCTTGTCCCCTGAACACACGTTGTCCAAGGTGGTGTTAAAACAACTGACTACCCAGTAATAACTTTTGTGATTTTTGTTTGGCAAGACAAATGATTGTGGTATTTGAGGTTGCCTTTTTCCAGTGGAGTGATTTTGTTTTAAGGGACAAATATTGTACCCTTTGAGCAAATAATAATAACAGGTACCAGAACCCTCACGGCCAATCTGTAAAATGGGTATTAATCTCATGCCTGCTTTTATAAATCAAGAAATGTAGGCTCACGTTTAAGTAGCACCAGGATTTTGCAAGGGCGCACGCCATGAGTCTGGAGGGGGAGGTGTTGGGGCATTAAAAATGTATTGGGCCTAAAATTAGGTCTCACGATTTAAGTAGCATGCACTGCCAGGAGAGAGTGGAAGTGGCCAGAACATCTGGGTTCAAGATTTCTCCTTGGAGGTGAAGAATAAAACCTCCCCCGGAAGGATCAATGTAACCAGTAGAGGGGACTGAGCATGTTTGTCAGGGTTTCATGAGAGTCCGTCCTCCCTCCAGGACTGAGGCTGAATAATTCGAGGGCATGGACTGGGTCCTTCTCTGACCTGGGTTTCTTTCTCCACCCCGTAGGGAAGGGGAATTACTGGACCCTCGATCCAAACTGTGAGAAAATGTTTGACAACGGGAACTTCCGTCGGAAGCGGAAGCGCCGCTCCGAAGCCAGCAGCTCCTCCGCGGCGGCCCCAGGGACCACAAAATCGGAAGACGGGCTCTCCTCAGGATTGGGGTCGGGAGTGGCCGCGAAGCCGGAAGGGGACAGCCCGACGGCTTTGCTAAGGCCGTCCCAGTCCCCAGAGCCTCCCGAGGGCACCAAAAGTACCGCCTCGTCCCCGGGAGGCTCCCTGCTCACCTCCACCCCCTGCCTCAACACCTTCTTCAGCAGCCTCAGCACCTTGAGTGTCAGCGGCAGTGGGGGCACCCAGCGGGCCCTCCCTGGCGGCCGCCACCTGGGAATCCAGGGGGCCCAGCTGCCCTCCAGCAGCGCCTTCCCCCCCAGCTCGGTCTCGGAAGCCGCGCCGGACACCTTGCCGCTGAGCTCCGGCGCCAGCAGCAGCAGCCAGAGGCCTTCCTACTGCAGCCCTTTCCCTGCCGGCTCCAGCGGGGGGCAAAGCAGCCCCTTCAGCAGCCCTTTCTACAACTTCAGCATGGTCAACAGCCTCATCTACCCCCGCGAGGGCTCCGAGGTATAGGACGCGCCAGCCTCAGCTTCTCAGACTTGAATATGCGCACCTGAGATCTTGTTAAATGCAGATTTCCCAGGCAGTAGGTCTTGGGGCAGGAAGGGAGGCTCTGCCTCTCCCTGGAGCCCCGGGTGATCCCCTGGGCCCACTGGCCACATCTGGAGGCGCACGGGAGTCGTAGATGACTCTTTCTACAGCCCAGCAAGCTTTCACAGGTTTCTTCTGGAGAAGGGCCTCCCTGGAGAGAAAGCCACCTCTGTTCTGGGCCAGTACCTGCGAGCCCTGCGAGGGCCTGGACCACGTCTGTTTTGCTGATCGCTGTATATCAGGGTTACAAGCTCAGATGTGCCCACGGGGCAGCTAAGAAACAAAAGAATGAAGTGTCTTGGGTAGGAAAAAAGGTCGCAGTTGGTAACTGCAGCAGTGGGGAGCGGTCGCGACTGACCAGCTGAAGGCCGCTGTGGGCAGCTAGTTCTTTCCTGCCTGGCAGCATCTTGATTTTTCTGGAAAAGTCAGGTGTCTGGATTTTTTTTTTTTTTTTTTAGAAAACCTCCATTTGCCTTCTTTGCCACCACTTAAAGTTCTTAAAATACTGTACCAGGAAACACCACAAATCCTCCGAGCTACATCCAGCTCACAAGTCACCTCTGCTGAGGCTCCGCTTCTGGGACTCGGTGGATACTAATAGCAATAGAACTGCCCAGGCAAGCTGTGTGCGGAGTGCCGTTTCAGACAGACACTCGACGTGTGATCGCACAGCAGCCTTGGGAAATCAGTATTGTTACTGTCCCTGTGCTCTCTATATGAGGCCAGTGCATCTCCCAAGATGTCACACACAAGTCCCGAGGAACCAGGATCAGGTCCAGGCAGTCTGGCTCCAGAGCTGGTGCTGGTAGATTTGTTCTGGTCCTGAGAAACAAAAGGTGCCGTTATCCGTAGGCAGACACAGTGTGCAGGGGGTGGGAATGAGCTACATCTCATTTGACCAAAGATTGACATAAAGTGACCATTTCAGATGTTCTCCTGAGCAACAAGGACAGACACCTCCCTCTGCCTTCTGCTGCCATATGCCCAGGGTGACCATTGTCCTAGTTAACTTGGTGTCCTGTCCCTTTTAGTGTGTGTCCTAGATCTTTCATTTTTTAAAGACAATATTAGAATGTTTTTAAAAAATAGTTTTGATATGGAATTTTTTTTATAGTTTCTTAATAAACCGTCTGTTAAAATTTTTTAATATAATTTATTTTTTAGCACTCCCTTTTACTTCTCAAGAGGTACCTGCATTTGAATAGTTTTTATGGTCACCCTCCCAGTGCCCAGCTGAGTGTCTGGTCCTTGGCAGATCCTTAGCCACCTTTTGAACTCACCCAAAAAGTGCTAATTAAAATGTAGATAATTGTTGATTTCATTGGAACAGCTGATAATGTCCTGAGTTGCCTTTGTTCCCTGTTGTTGGATCTTTGATAGGAGAGTTGCTGGTTTGGGGATTTACTTTTTTTTAGAAAATGGAACGCAAGTAAGTATATTGTAAAAAAAAATTTTTAACTTTTCCCTGTGTATTCTTTTTTGAGACTCACAGCGTTACTTTTAAATTTTTATTTTGAAATACACAATACAGAAAACTATTTTTTAAAGTTTTATTGAGGTATAAATAACATCACCGTTACTTTTTAAATATTATGGACGAAGACAACCAAAGAGACTACCTACCCCCCAGATTGTGTGTACAAAAAAACCGTTTCTGTGGATATTTTTCTATGTGAAAAATCGTAGGGACTTTTATAAATATTATTTCTAACACAGTTCTATATTTGTAAATTAATTTATAATGTGAACTGGGACAAAAAAAATTTTTTTTTCCCAAGAAAGTACACTGCATGCTGAGAATCACATGAAATAAACTCTTAAGTGGGATGATTTCTGGCCACCTTTTCGCGTTCCTGTTTTTCTGTCTTCAGCGTCTTTCTCCTAAAGGAATAGAGATGTAAGGGGCATGACACTGAAGCCACTACAGGGACTTTGTTGAGAGCAAAAGCAGATGATGTTCCCATTGGATTGGTCCCACCTGCCCATGTCTGAAAGGCTGGAACAAAACAGTTACTCTTGGGGATGGTCTATAGGCATGTGAGCATTTTATTGATTTTTAACAGAGTAACAGTTCTGTCTTAGATCAACCAACCTAAGTGTACCAGACAACTTCTGTTCCAGAATGAAATGGTGCTGTGAGGTCTCACCAGCTGGCAGTAGTCCTCAGGTGGCCTCCGCAGCCCTGGGTGTGGTGGCCCTCAATGGGGCCACAGGCAGCCCATCACTGCACACTGCCAAGGAAATAGGAAACTATTGAGACTGGGCCCCCATCTAGAAGAAACCAGGAAAACGAGGTTTCTAGACTAGGGTTTCTCAGCCTCAGCACTACCGCTATTTAGGGTTGGGTAATTCATTGTAGAGGTTGCCTTGTGCATCACAGGGTATTTAGCAGCCTCCCTGGTCTCTACCTGTTAGACTCTAGAAGTGCCTCCTTTCCACCTGGCCCTGGCCACATGGTGACGACCTGTCTCCAGACATTGCCAAACGTTCCTGGCCAGTTGGGGGGAGACAAAATTAACCCTGCTTGAGAACCACTGATCTAGACTAACACCCAGAATTGGAAAATTGTGGGCTAGTTGTTGAGCCCTGGATGAAGGAGGCCTCTGGGTTTTTGGCATAGGACGGTTTCTGTCTTGTGAGATGCCTTTTCTTCTAAAGAAAATCAGCTGCTCTCAGAACTGAGATCCACTGGTTTGCCCTGTCACATTGGAGGTAGTACATTCCTTCAATGTTTTAGTTGCTGAGTATAGATTGTTTATGGCAGCTTCCTTCTTGACATCTAATTATTTCTATTAATAGAGACCTAGGCCGGAATAATTTCGACCAACAATAAGCTACCCGAGTTCTGGGTTTTTGTTTTTGTTTTTGTTTTTGTTTGTTTTTTGGCATGGTCGGAGGTTGGGGGTGGGGGCGGTAATGGAGACAGGCATAAGGATTTCTTGGAAAGAAAGACATGCAAAAAGCACATGAGTAACCCGTATTTGGAAGTACCTAGATCTGAGTGGTTGGTATGAAATGCCAGGATGATGGCATTTATGAGGACAAAGGCGAAGAGCAGAATCCGCGTCATTCTCCTGCTGAACAGCCGCGGAGGGTGGCAGGGCCGCTCAGTCTCCACTCCCGGGACTGAAGAAGCTGTAAGGTGGGCAAGTCTTGATCAGGGAACTGCCTCCTGCTGGGCATGGGACCCAAGGCTACCAGAGGAAGCTGCCCATGCCTGTGAGATTTCCAGGTCAAAGTCTGTACCAGCCCTACAGCTGGCACCGGTTTCCTGAATCTGTGACGTTGTCTGCCTGAGAACCAGGTCAGACATTCTGGATCTGAGCTAGATTTCACGTTCTGTTGTTTGGGACAGTGCAGAGGGAAAGATGTGCTCCCTTGGCCTATAAATGAGTGACCTTCCTTCTCTGGGGTGGCCAGGGACCGGGGGACTGATGTCGAGTTGCAGCCCACGTTGAGGCCAGTTGGGCACATGTATAAGTAAGTGAAGGCAGCCGCCTTCCAGCCTTTTGGGATGTAGTGTACCTTCCAGAATAAGACAGGGCCAAAGGAGAATTTTAAAAACTACTAAACCAGATTCACATTTCCTTCTGGATACTTTGAGAACCTTAATCTTGTTCTTAAACTTATTAGGAAAGGGGGGCCAAGAGGCTTCAGGAACTGCACCCCAACTTCTCCAGCTCCCCAGGGCCCTGACAAGTCCCTCCCAGAGCAAAGTGGGCCAAGCTCTGGCCATGAGGAACATCACTAAAGCTGTTCTCTTCCTCCCTGCGACTGCCCAGAACTTGGAAAGAGGCTAAGTCCACAGGGTCTAACTGGTTTTCTTTAGCTGCTCTAGTAGCTAAAAACCTAGAGGCTTTTAAAGAAGAAACTCCCAGTGGCTTACCCGAGGCAGGGATTTGCGGGTTCTGGGGCCGAGAACCGGCCGCCCACGTGACCTGGCCTTTTGTCATGGAAAGTGGTCAGCTGGGGTGCGTGGCTGGGTGGCGGGCAGGGCTGGAGAAGGAAGGAATTTCCTGTCAGATTTGAAAACAAAAAAAAGGTCAAAAAGACCAGCTACCTACTGAATTCCTCTCTGCTTTTTTATTCATGATGTCTGGGGATCCTCACCAAAAACCCAGGAGGCCTGGAGAGCAGTCCTTTATTATTTTAAAAAAGGCAAAAATTACAATAATAATAACTCACTTACTAGGTGCTGGGCATTGTCCTAAAATATACAAAAATAAATATATTGAATGTAATCAACAGCTATCTTAGCAACAACTCTATGAAGTAGACATAGGGTTTTGTTTTATTTTTAAATAAACGCTACCCCCAACGCGCAGCTTGAATTCACAACCCTG